TATGTGTAATCCAAGTGCTTCAAAATGTGAAGTTGATGGCGACACGGAAGTACAACGGTCTTGAACTTTTTGTAAGAGCAAATTAGGGTTTCTGTACGAGAATCAAAACAAATTTCAAATGTCCTATTTTTTTCTTTGTACTTTGTCAAAATATAATGTTGACATTCATCTGATAAGGACTGAATCTCTTCGTCAATCCGGTACAATGTCTCCCCTTGAAGTTCATCTTGGAACGCACGAAAAGATTCGAGGGTAAAAATCTCAGCAATATGGCTTTCAAGGTCGACCAGTTTTGTGATCTGAAAGGGCTTCGTCTGGGAACTTAAGTAATCCGCTTTCAACTTTTTCATACGCATTCTACTAATTCCATCTTCAATTGCATGGATAACATCTAAATATGTTTTCTTGTGTTTCAGTGAAATCGCTAGTGAAGCATTTATAGACTCGCACTTTTGTGTGGAGCGAATATTGGCAAATAAATTATCGGTTAGATATGCTTGTGCCCATAAGTGCCGAGTATTTCCCTTCTCAATCACCCATGGATACTTTTCGACGTTGAATTCTGAAACAACCGAACGCCATTGAATATCAAATTCCTCGATTGTCCACCAGGAAGCCATGCATTTTTAGAATGCTGCTGTAAATTTTGGGTTACCAATGTTTGCTTGTGCATTGCGAGAAAGATGCAAAGAACATAATATGTGCTTAGTATAAGGGATAACAGATTTGATTGTCCTCTGCATTGCCCTATCCCCATCGGTGACAACTGAAATAGGTGATTTATTCATCATGGCTTCTAAAAAATTCTGTAGCACCCACTCGAAAGATTGTGACGTCTCATCAGTGATTATGGCAGTGGCAAACACAATTGTGTTATGGCGATGATTGACACCGATAATAGGCATAATTGGTCGACCATATAAATTATCTTTGTATGTTGTGTCGAACGTAATTACATCACCAAAGCATGTCTAATATGATCTCGATGTAGAATCCGACCAAATAAGATTATGCAATGCCCCTGATTCGTCTACCGAGTATGTCATAAAAAACCCGGGATCATCATGTTTCTTATAATCAATGTACGTAATAAGCACATTCACATCCCCATTGACAAATTCCTTTGCTTTACCTCTTTGAAGTGCATTGTAGAGGTCTTTATGTGTAAATCCAACATTATGATAGCCTCATGCCTGCTGCGTTAAATAGTTCATTACTTGTGACGTGCCAACACCGACCTCTTTCAATGTTGTTACCTCATCGATATCAGCCTTACTTACAACTCTATTAGAACGAATAAATGGTGTCATAGCAGGTGTGCACAATGCATGATTATGTTTCTGATAAGACTTACTTATAACCCAGTGATAGTTTGTATTTGTTGCTATAACTACGACTCTAGCCTTGCATCATGTTCTTGTGACTGGCGTATGAGCACGTTGACGATCAACAGTATTGACTTTTGATACTCGAAACCCTTCTTTGGAACAACAAAATTCTTGTGTCTTCACATTCCCTTCTACGCCAAACCGTGTTGTTCCCTTACGTGCACTAAACCCATGTTCCCGTGTGTATCCCTTGTAAAAGTACCAAGCTTGATCACGTGAAGAGAAGAGCTGACCAACCAATCTGTCAAATTCATCAACATTATGTACTTTGGCTTAATATTGTCTGCATCAGTATGATCCATGACAAAAAAAATTTTGTGCAAGTTCAGTGGTCCCAGAGTTGATGGAGATGTAAGTAAAGGTTCATTGAACATGTTTCAGTCATGCTTTCAATAGGATGTGGTATTGGTAGTGGTAGTTGAAGGGTGAGTACAACATTAAATTCGCATGACATATTTAGGTATGTACAATAACTACCTAAAAATGTGTCGATACATTTTCTAAAAGTATCGACCCAAAAAACATCGAAACCAATAATTATAATGTAAGAGGTAAATTAACAATGTAACCGGTATAAATATGCCAGTTAATTAGAAAACATGTCAACATTATGTATCGACACCTGTGGAATTGTGTGTCGATACTTATTGTCCAGAATGAATGCCCAAACGAGGTGCACGCATAAAGTGTCGATACATTTATTAAACATATCGATCCCAATAAAATCGAAACTGATAATTATAATGTAATATGTAAATTTACAATGTAACCGGGTATAAATATACCAGTTTTATGAGAAAATAGGTCAGCATAAAGTATCGACACTTGTTAAATTTGTGTCGATACATTTTGTCCATAATGAATGCCAAACGGGTGCATGCATAAAATGTCGATACATTTATTAAAAGTATCGATCCCAAAAACATCGAAATCGATAATTACAATGTGATAGGTAAATTTACAATGTACCTGATAGAAATATACCAGTTTTATGAGAAAATAGGTCTAAATAATGTATCAACACTTTTTAAGTTTGTGTCGATACTTTTTTCCAAAATGAATGCCCAACGATGAGCACGCATAAAGTGTCGATACATTTCAAATTGTATCGATCCAAAAAATATTGAAATCGATAATTATAATGTAATAGCTAAATTTGCAATGTTAACGGTATAAATATACCGGTTTACTTATAAAATATGTCAATATAAGCGTTATCTATTACATTATATAAGCGCTACCTATTACATATATAAGCGCTACCTAATATGTTATTGTACTTGATAATATTTCCGTTAAATGCCTATTTTATTATATAAGCGCTACCTATTACATTATATAAGCGCTACCTAATATGTTATTGTACTTGATAATATTTCCGGTTAAATGATATAACATAACCGGTCTAAATTTTAATCGGTCACTTATTTAACCAGTCACGCCGTTTTTAGCCGTTTTTTAGGCGCCACACATCAGAAGTTCCCGTTATTTCTTATTTATAAGTTTTAGGAATAAAGTGATCTCAATAATTAATGGATTGTAGTTATCTTTTGAGATCTTGGGTTCAAGCATGATGTTTGTTATTTCGAACATATAAATTTTAGTATTTGTTTGATCCAATGAGATCATTTTTTATTAGTATTTATTTAATTAATGAATGTAATCAAATGGTTGAGTTTTTTAAATCGATATTATTATTTATCTCATACTAATAAAAAAAGTTATCTCTTAAATATAATTATAATAATTAATTGAATTAAATTTAAAATGTTAGACCCAAAAGCTCCTCATATTGACCATGTCTTGAATTGGAGTAAGAGTACATTTACAATGACGAAATTTGAACTTTTATTGCACTTTAAGTAGTGCAAACAACAAAAAGTGACACAAAAGGATTCCTTTAGGTTTCAAGTTTGAAGGAAGTCCCCCAGAATTAATGGGTGGAAGATGCAAGGGCAAGGAACAGCTACGTAGAAGATGCGTAAAGGTGGATATATAATAATAATAATAGATTTTTTTTTACATAGAATGACCGCAAACAAAATTTTAAAGTGAATATTATTAATAAAATAAACTTGTGATACATTGGATTTCAACATGAGTAACTCGGGAATGCTTGCATCGCCACTAAGTATTAGGTGGTGCTGCATTTCCCCCACAACCTGTAAAATAGATGCAAATTCAATTTGATGGTTTTACAACCTTAAAGCGTAGGGGTCATTTGTCTTGTAGCGAGCAACCTCATTTCCCAAGCACAGCCTTAATACCGGCTGAAAGAATATAGAATTCTATGCAGATTCCAATTCAAAATCACATATAGTTGGATTAGTGTATTTGCCCATCAAACCACATGGACAGCATCAACCCAAAACCTAATGAAATAGTACTACTACCAATACTAAAAGGTTCATTTCTGTATTTATTTCAATTTCTAGCATATGCGATGGTTGGGTATGCTTTTCTTTTTAGGTGGAATATCACCCCGTGACATTCATCTGTATATTTTATTTCAGCTTGCCCGAGAACATTCATTATTCCTATTAGGATACTAAAATCCGAATATAGACTGAATTAAAGAATCGAATTCAAATACTTTACCCTAATAACGTCCTATTGTCAGGATACCATTTATGTACTTTACCCTAATAACAATGACCTGCAAACCAAACGACGCGTGAACTACTAGTCAGGTAATTTGATCACGTCGCGTGTTAAGGAAAAAGCAAAATCTTTTATCAAAGAAAACTACCAGCTAAATCAACCAACTTTGTTAATCTCCAAAATAGACCCTTCATCTTTAAATAACACTTCCATGCAATCCTCAAGTGACAACTAACATTGCTTCCAATGTTTTCTTGTTGGGAGAGGAGTATTGTCAATCGTGTTTCCACCGCCTAACATTCATTACCCATACAATTCTAACTAATGTTGTAAACTGACGGATCCAAAATTTTAAGAACGAGGTCCAAAATTTTAATTTTCTTTTCTTAAAAACAATGGGTATGCAAGATTTTTTATTTTTTCTATTTTTCTTTAACATATTAAATTGAATTTCACTTTTTTTCCTTAAATAATGGGATGCACTTGACCCCCTAAGGAGCTTAGTGCATCCGCCCCCGGCTTTAGAATGAAGTCGAATTTATCATATCATTAATTTATTTATAATTTATTAATATAAATTTATCTATAATGATAATGTATAATTATATATACTTCTAATTTAATTAATAACAATGCACGAATCAAACGATCTTAGTGATTAAAGAATTATTTTTATCCTGTTAAAATTCTTTAATCATATACTATCTTCTTTTATAGTGATTATATATAATCTTATATTCACTCCAAATTAATCAAAAAAGAAGTAGATAATAACATTATTACTATAACAATTTTGTTAATGGAAAAGTGAGATTGTGAAGGTTATAAATAATTCATTTTGTTAAAATTTAAATGGACATTCACATTCCATGATTCTACAAACAAACTTAAATGCATGAAGATAAAAATACATAATAGTTTCTAATTTGATTATCTCAGCTGAGGCACGAGCTCGTCAAAAGAAGTCAGAGAGAGAGAGATTATATATTATAGTTGTTGCTCTGCTTACTCTGTGCAAAGCAATGGCCGTTAGTTCCTCAATTTAATGCACCTCTTCTCCTAAATCCTCACTCCTTCTCTTCTTGAAGATATAAAACGAAAGCAGAATGAATTTAATAAATTAATTAAAGCAAGAGAAAAAGTCCCGCTCAGAAGCAGGTGTGTGTCTCGGCGCATTCTCTCTAATTTTCTTTCTTTTTACTATAATGCAATTTCTGGCTCTGAAGAAATATGTAAACGATCTTCATCACAGTTCATAATGGGTTTCAGATTTGATTAAAGAGGAAAAGGATGGCATCTTGGGAACATTTTGGAGAACTTGCAAATGTAGCCCAGCTCGCAGGATTTGATGCAGTGCGGTTAATAGCAATGATCGTCAAAGCAGCAAGCACTGCCCGAATGCATAAGAAGAACTGCAGGCAATTCGCAAATCATCTCAAGTTGATTGGTAACTTGCTGGAGCAGCTCAAGATCTCGGAGCTTAAGAGGTATCCCGAGACACGTGAGCCGTTGGATCAACTGGAGGATGCATTAAGGAGGGCTTACGTATTGGTACATAGTTGTCAGGATAGGAGCTATCTCTATCTCCTGGCCATGGGGTGGAACATCGTATATCAGTTTAGGAAAGCCCAGAATGAAATTGATCAGTATTTGAAGATTGTTCCTCTTATCACTCTTGTGGATAATGCTCGAGTCAGGGTATTTATTCGCTTTTCTTATTGTTGTTTTGATATTTACCCCTTTTTATTTTATTTTTCCTTATTTGCATGACTCTCGAAACAATTTTGAAATGATGTTTGGGGTTGGAATTGGTACTTGAAAATGAAGGTAAGCTTTAGAAATGCATGTATGATTCCTTTATTGAAATTCAGTGCTGTAAATACTATTGTCTTGTTGAAATTCAGTGCTGTAAATACTATTGTCTTCTTATGGATCTCTCCATAGCTTTTGTTTCTTTGTTTGGCCATTGTAAATCAAGGGATGATTTTTGATTCCTTGCTACAATGGTCAACCATCGAAAACCGACTAATTTACATTTTAATATCTGGTTCTTCATTAGCTTGGGGAGGGTTGAGATAGGTAGTGGAGAAGGCAAAATAGGGTGGGACCAGGGATTTAAATAGAAGTCTGTTATCGGAATAGTGATTGTTATATAGTGGTAAAGGTGATGTCCAATACCATTATTGCACGACTTAGATACCGCAATTGCGATTGCCGCAACCGCGATAAACACAACGCAATAAAAAACGAGACTGTAACCGCAATTTAAATCCCTAGGTGGGACAAACTTCATACCTTCAGTCATATGTCCTTTTGAATTCCTTTGATATTTAAATTTTTTGGAAGGATAGGCGATCATATATGTTTTCCTCCCTATTAATTCTTTTCTAGTTAATTAACGTTCCTTCCCTTCAGCCACTTGTTCTTCTATCTTCCCCTGTTTTTTTAATGAAAATCTAAACCATTCAGGCCCGATATCAGCTTCTCTAAAGATGAATCCATCGGCCAAATAGTTTGTACACGGCTTCTGATTTTGTCAAGGAAGGATACAGGTCAAGCCTTTACTGCCAAGAAAATGTACTGAATTATATAGAACTTTTTGTGCAGATAAAAAATGTTGTATTGGAAGATTTGGATATGTTTCTTTCCAGAAATATCATTGGAAAATAATTAATCAATGGGATTACTGAAGGGACTAAAATCTCCAGTGGTTGGACAGTATTTTTAATCTTTAGTTTGCCTGCTTTACTAATTTTTAAGTTCTCTCAAACCTGCAGGAGAGACTAGAAGTTATTGAGAAAGATCAACATGAGTACACACTGGATGAAGAGGACAGGAGAGTGCAGGATGTTATACTGAAACCAGATCCGTCGACAAATGATGCCTTGATTTTGAAAAAAACTCTTTCTTGCTCATATCCAAACATGTGTTTTAATGAAGCACTTCGTAAGGAAAATGAAAAGCTTCAACTGGAGCTACAACTATCGCAAGCCAATTATGATGTTCAGCAGTGTGAAGTAATCCAGCGTTTGCTTGATGTGACAGAGGTTGCGGCTATAACTTCTATTCCAGATAAGAGTTCATCCATGAAAGTAGAGCGTAATTTCTCAGATGCCAATAGTGAGAAAGGTCATTCATATAATGAAAACTCTCCTAAGAAACCTGGTTCACGCACTACTTCTAGGTTAGTTTTCCTTACATTTATAGTCTTGTGTTGTTAAAATATAATTGTAGTTATACTCAAAACAACTTCCCATGTAGCAATATCCTTTGCAACCTTTCCCCTTTTCCATTGGCCTTATACCTCGAGTTGAAAGCTGATGTATGCATATATTAAGAAAGTACAAAAAGCTTTTTGAACTGCCATTGTAATTAAAAATGATAACTAATTTGCCTTCATTCTTTTGATAAAGTTAAAACTTTGGTCATAATTTTTAGTTGCCAACAACTTGATCCCTTTCATTCTCAAGGAATTTGGCATTTGAATTACAGTCTTGGTGTATTCAAGTCCACGAGCTTTTGAATATACACCCATGGTTTACGTACTTCATGTGCTCGGAGCTTAAATTCGGATTCTAAAAGTTGTATGTGCGTACCTTTTTTCTCAGAAATACATCTTCAGTTTCATCAGGACATGATCTGCTCTCTAACAGAGGTTCGCATCAATGTGGCGAATGGCATGCAGATTTGCTCGGTTGTTGCTCAGAACCATATCTATGTAAGTCTTTCTTACATCATTGTTGCCCCATTTTTGTATGAAATGCCTACCTTCTACTCTGTTAGACTCTGTAGAAGTTACAAATTATACCTTGAGATAGCTAAGCTCCAAGAAAAGGGATAGGAACATTTATTTTAAATATGGATTTATGTTTCTTTTGCAGTTATGGAGGAAAAGAGGAACACAATTTTTAATAAGATTTGTAGGACAAACTTCTCATGCAGAACTGACCAGTATTTGCTGTCATGCATCTGGTCTCCTAAGCCACATTTTTTGGTTGCAGGTATAAAGACATTCTTTTGTCCTTGTGCTACATTTTCAAAGATTGCTACTGTGGCAAGGAACAGACATATGTGTAAGTATTTTGGATTATATTTTAATTCGTAATTATGTTTTACTTGCTTAGGTAAAATTCTTTTTGATCTTCATTTGTGCAAGAATTTGATTTGTTTAGTTCAGTTTACCCTGATAATAAGGATGCATGTGCATTTCCATATTGCTTGGGATGTATATATAACAGGATAAGTCCATTAATGGTTTTCCTTAGGAAAGGAAATTACCTTCTCTCTTGATGTCTTACCACAGAAAAGTGTTATACAAACAGCAACGCCTTTGGATTTTTTCTTTGATTTTGGTATTATTTCGAAGCTAACATAGAAACTTTCTTCAGCTTCCGCAGAAGCATGCAATGAACTGATGGCATATTCACTGATATTGTCATGCTGTTGCTACACATGCTGTGTTAGAAGGAAACTACGGAAGGCATTGAACATTACGGTATTTTCTCTTCCAATGAAAGAGTAATCTTCTTTTGCAAAGTATGAAACTCTGAGTTACAAGTCTCGGCTATTTTTAGTGCCATGCATGCAAGTAGAGATGCTTTTATGTTGTGTTCATTAGCTTATAGACTATAGTCCATTATCCCGAGTATTCTAATTTGATTGTAGCCATTAGTCATCATCACGAGTATATGATTTTGAGCTGTCTGAACATGAATAGCATATCAGATGATGCACTGCCATTTGAAATTATATACCTCCATGTGATTAACTGATGATTACTTCCTCCACACTTATTTTTGGTGTAAGGCTAGAAAGTTGCCATCTTAATTGAATTGGGTTTCCGTAATATGCTCTACTTTTTCTTTCTTTCTTTCTTTCGGCAGGGTGGATTTATTGATGATTTCCTCTCACATTTGATGTGTTGCTGTTGTGCCCTTGTTCAAGAATGGCGAGAAGTACAAGTACGTGGGGCTTATGGTATGTCCTATATACATATTTATGCATGGTCAAAATATCCAAATCCCACCTTATAATAAGATTATTCAAACAAAAAAAAAAGTTCGAGGTGAGGTTTAGGAAAGATTTTTATGGGACGGAGGTAGTACTTTATAATCACTCGAATTATTAAAAAAATAGGGAAAAAGCGTGAAAGGAGTAGATAAAGAGAGAGTTTGGAGAACAGTGAGGGAGGAAAAATATGAAGAAAAAAAAGAGAAGAGTTATTTTATAGACAAAATTTTGTGTTTAAGGATTATAGATGGTAATTTATCTTGAGTCGGGTCAGATCGAAAAAAATTATTCTAAATTTGATTATGCTAGGACCTTGACTATATTCTTCATAAGACTCATCTCGATTGACCTAAATCCTAGTTTCAAGAGAGAGAAAATATCTTGTAAGATCGAATCACATCAAAATTGATAGAATTAAGTTAGTTTGAACATTAGTACAGCATAATGCTTGTGATAACCGTGGTCTGGTTTCATGGTACAATAAACATGAGAATTCACATGAACTTTCAGGTTTAGAGAAGACTAAAACAAGCCCTCCACCATCACAATTTATGGAATCGTAAGTATCAGGTCAGGGAAGTGTTGATTTTTTAGGAGGTTTTAACACTAACCTCAGTTAGTCGCCGTTGTGAAATTGGAACTGTACTAGAATATATTGGCTTTGAACCTACATATATGTAAATTAGTCCAATTAATTGGGAAGATTCTTCACTTCATGTTGTATCGTACACTGATTTTTTTATGGTGGTTTTGATTTAACCGTGTATTAAAAAGTTGTTTATATTTTGAGTCGGAATCACGACCTATAAAAAAAAGTGCATTTGAACATTTAAATCTATGAGATCTTTTAAACCATTTCTTTGTTTTTTGGTGGAAAAATAGTTCAAATTTTAATAAAATTATGAAATTTGTTATAAGAACAAGAGAAATACATATCACACTATAAGAGGGAAAACATTTTCCCCCCCCATATGTTGCATTGTTTTTTTTTTTTTTTGAGTAACCCTTATGTTTTTTGAATGTCATTATATGACTAAACACATATCAATGTATCATGTGGGATCGACCCGATAAATATAACCATTAGAGCAAACTAATCCTATATCTATTAAAGCTCTCGCTGGTCCCTTTATTATTTGGATCATTGAACAAAGCTCTAGATCTTAAAGAAGCCAAAACCTAAATCAACCATTTATAATAAAATTAGTTATTTGCATTGATTAAAACTACTTATAATATAATGATTCATTTGTATACTTTGTGATAATTTAGTGACCTATAGTTAAGGGGGACATGAGTCAGGTAATTAGGTTTTTTTTTAATTCGAATCTGATTAGAAAAATTAAAAAATTTCCATTTAAATTTGACTTGATTTGATATTTTGTTATTTTTTCATCTAACCTCAATTTGATCAGAAATTTAAGTTAAGATCCACCTCAACCTAATCTAAGATAAATATTTCTCCCTATTCTTTTTTTTATTAATTTGGTGCAAGTATAATATAATATTTGTTCAAATAACACTCTTAACCATTTGACATTAAACGCTCACAGTCCTCGTATTCCTAGTACTCAAACTAGAACACCTTAAGGAATAACAACAATTCATTTACCACTGAGGTCGCTTAGTTTGTGTGCCCTATTCTTATTCTAAAAAATAGTAAAGTATATATATATAGAAAGAGAGAAATTATAATAATTATATCTAGTTTTTATTTGATGAGAAGTAATATATATATCATTATAATAATTGTTCCTAAATATAAAAGAGATGATTATACTATTATCTTGAGTTAGAATAAGTCAAATATTTTTCAACTTAAACTCGAACATGCAAGACCAACTTTATCTTTATAAACTTAACTCGACTTGAACATGATTATTATTTTGAAAATGGTCCTATATGATCATATCATGTCAGATCAAAACTCTTTAAATTCGAGTGATTCCATCCATGCATGTAGTATAATTTATTATTATTATTATAAACAAATTATATATATATGAGATTATTATTTGACACACTAACTATATACAAATTATTTTGTATAATTTATCTTTTTAATCTTAATTTTTAATTATAAAACCCTAAATTTTACTCTCTAAATTCTAGTTTATAAACATATATTCTAAACTAGGATTGTAAATGAGACAAAACATATCGCGAGTTATTCTAGTTTAACTTGATTCAAGTTTGGTCAACATGAATCGAATGGATTCAACTCAACCTCAAATTCAACTCAAGTTCTTAATGAGCCGAAGCGAATTATTTAATACTCGACTAAAAAAATATTAAAATTTAAAATTTAAATTAAATTCTTAATAATATTAACATTTACATGTTATCTTTTTTAAAAGTACAATATAAAATTTTCATGTTATTAAGGTTCGAGCTTGAATTCGAGTTTGGATGGAGCTTGAGTTTAAGCTTTAATTGAGCTAAGTCTGAGAATGTTTTGAGTTCGAGTCTAGCTTGAAATTTTAAGCTTGTGAGATTTCGAGTCGGATATCAAGTAGCTTGTGGGCCTTTTTTTAGAAAAAAATATAAGCTTGTGAGCTTTCGAATCATATATCAAGTAACTTGTGCGCATTTTTTAGAAAAAAAATATAAGCTCATGAGGTCGCGAGCTTCAATTTTTTATTTTGAGTTCTAATCGAGCTTAAAAATTTTAAAATTATAAACTTATGAGTCGAGTAAAACTGAACATTAAATATTTTAAATCGAGTTGAACTCAACAATACTCAGACTCGAGTCATTTCAACCTTATTCTAAACTATAAACTTAAACACTTAAATCATAAATTTATGGGTAAAGTACGTATTTAGGACATAAACTATCAATTTTAGTACCTAAAGTTTCAATTTTTTTAGAATCATGCTTAACATTTTATTCTCATTTCATTTTAATACCCTTCCATTAAAAGTTTAATGCGTTTAGTACCTAAACTATCAATTTTGGTCATTTTAGTACCTAAACTTTTATTCTTTTCAAAACTTAGTGTTAAATTTTGAACTGGGTACTAAAATGAAACATAAACTATAATTTTTAACGGCATATACTAAAATGAACCAAAAACTAAACTTTAGGCATGGTTTTGAAAAAATCAAAAATTTAAATACTAAAAAGAATCAAAACTAATAGTTTAGATATTAAACTCATAATTTACCCTAAATTTGTATATCCTACTATAGTAATTTTGCGTAGGCCATGAGGACAATTTAAGGGGAAAATCCCAAGTTTGGTTATGCTTGCTATTCACAACAACTCGTGTCAATAATTAATTGGCTGAAGATGCTCCACGTGGATGATTTAAACCATCTTATCAAGATAACCCGCCCTCTATTTAAGAGTAAACTCGTCGACTAGGAGGACTCCCGCCCTCCCCCTAAAAAAACCAATTAGTTCAATTTCTTACTTTTAATCTATTGGGGAATTGATAGCAAAAGATATGTCAGGTAGGAAGATCACTTTGAAGAGCTCCAAAGGTGAATCATTCGAGGTCGACGAGGCGGTGGCTTTGGAATCTCAAAACCATGAAGCATATTGTTGCAAATTAGTGAAACTTACTATCATAGTTGTTGAATTAGTCTTTGCTGAAAAAATCTATTCTGTTTGAAGTTTTCCTTTTATTTAGGAAGCTAATGTTATTTTTCTTTTATTTAGGAGTTAGTGGCTTTTATTTAGGCAAATAAACTCTGAAGACACGTTTGTGTTAGTTGAGATATTTTAGTGCATTTTTTAGTATTTATAAAGTTGTAATTGTTGTTTGATTTATTCATTGAGTAATAAAAGTTCAATTTCAAAGGATCTTCTCTGCTTTCTCTTTGGCTGCTTCTTGTCTTTATATTTGTTTCATGGTACCAGAGCCATGTTGCTTATTAAATGTTTGATTTTATTACTCAATAAAGATGAATGGTGGAAGCAATGTCTTTGTAGACAAGCTTGTTGGTAACAATTATAGTTACTGGAAGCTATGCATGAAAGCTTATCTACAAGGGTAGGATTTGTGGGATCTTATCTCTGGTGATGAAGCTGTAATTCCAGGAGATACACCATAGAATGCTGAGTTGCGAAGGAAGTGGAAGATTAAGTGCCGCAAAGCTTTGTTTGCTTTACGAATATCGATCAGTCAGGAGTACATAGAGCACGTTTGTGATGTGAAGTCGCCAAAGCAAGTGTGGGAGACATTTGAAAGGTTGTTCACTCAAAAGAACACAATAAGGATGCAATATTTGGAGAACGAACTTGTTGGGATGACTCAACACAATATTTTAGTTTCAAAATATTTTATGAAACTTAAAACCTTGTGTTATGAAATTTTAGAATTTGATACATATGATCCGGTGAGTGAAGCTCGTTTACGTCATTATCTTATCTGCAGATTGCGGAAAGAGTTTATGCCCTTTATCTCTTTTTTACAAGGGTGGCAAACCAACCTTCTATTATTGAGCTGGAGAATCTGCTCTCAAATCAGGAAGCATTGGTGAAACAAATTGGCAGCAACAACAAGCTATCTCCCTCTCAAGTGGATGATGTTCTTTACACAAAAGAAAAAGTAAAAAGCAATTATTCCTCCAAGCATGCTTCAGGTGACAACAAGCAATTCAAAACTAAATGGCAGTTCGGAGGTAATTCCAAAAATTGTTATAGTTGTGGAAAGCTGGGACACTTAAAGCGTGATTTTCGTGTGAATGTGGTGTGTAATCGGTGCAGGAAATCAGGCCATATTAAACAAATTTGTCGTGTAAATCTCACGGGAGCAAATGTTAGCCATGAAACTAGTAAGTTTAAACAACTCAAGTAGGAGCAATGCTTATCCATTGAAGTTGTTGAACAACCTGTTATTGTGAATTCTGTTGTGCAACAAACCAATGCAGAACCATATGCTAATGCTTCCATAGACTATAGCAAGGATTGAATTATTGATTCTGGTTGCTCTCATCATACAACGAGACATGATTTTTTACTCTCTAATGTTTGTCTGCATTATGGAAACATAGCTATTGTTACAGCTGATAATTCATTACATCCTATCGTGAACGAAAGACAATTTAATGTCAAGAAAAATATTTCCAATGCTGGTGGCGTTTCTCTCGAAGATGTTTATCATGTTCTAGGCTTAAAGAAGAATCTTGCTTCAGTTTCTCAGATTGCTGATTCTGGGTGGTATGTTCTTTTTGGTCCAGATGATGTGAAAATTATTTCCAATATAAAACACCTTTAAGATGATGTTTTATTAATGGAAAAAGAAAAGAGTCACTCTATGTATTGTCTACAAGTGATGTATATGTGGAAAAGATAGGTCAGAATGCAAGTGCAACACTTTGGCATGCTCGGTTAGGCCATGTTGGTTATCAATTGCTGCAGAATATCTCTACAAAGAAGCTTCTTGATGGTGTTCCTCTTTTTAAAGAAATTTATCAAGATGTGGTTTATCCTGGTTGCCAATATGGAAAATCGCATCGTCTTCCTTTCCCGAATTCGAAAAATAAAGCTATTGCTACACTACAACTGATACATTCAAATCTGATGGGGCCAACTAGAATACCCAGTTACAACGGTTTTCATTATGTAATGGTTCTTGTGGGCGACTTTTCTCGGTTCACTTGGGTGTTTTTCTTGGA